GACTCCTGCCTGGCACGTTTGTGGAGTTTGATGGACGCTGGTCAGGGAGTGCCCAGACAGATGAGCAAAACAGTAACAAAAGGGAGCTGGGATGAAATTCTTCCAGTGCTTATTATCCTGGTGTCAAAGCCAAACCCATAGATTCTCATCATTGAGAATTATTTTCTACCTAATGACAAACTTGCCAATGGCTTGTTATAAAACTTTTCTTTCTTTCACCTAAGATTTGGCCACTTTATTTCTAATTCTTATAAATTTCTCCTTTCTCCACAGCCAATGTAGTAAAGATCCTTCTCTGGAACACACACACACACACACACACACACACACACACACACCCAGATGCAAATGCTGCTATGACTGCATATTCAAAAAGACATCAATTAATCGGTTTATTCAAATATTTATTTAGGCAACGTGTATGGAATACTCATTTGGTGCAAGGGGCAGCAAAGAAGAGAACAGTTTCAATTTTAATGAATTTGCCATCAGCTTTGTGGACAGGCCTTGACCTAAGACACCAATAGGCTTCTTCTTTTATCCACTAGTGAAAACACTGTGCCTTAGTCCCTAGCCTCCAGAACATTTGAGATTCAGGGCTTAGTGGCAGGAACTCTGGTCACTGGGACTGTGCCCTTGAAGGGGACATTAGCAGCCAGCCCTTTCCTTCTCTCTGCTTCCGACTGCCATGAGGTAAACAGCCATGCACCGCTGGCACGGCGCACTGCCTCGCTGCAGGTCCAGAGGCCAGGGCGCCAAGCGACCATGAACTGAAACTCTGAAACTGTGAGCCAAGAGAAACCTTTCCTCCTGGAGGATGTTTATCTCAGGTGTTATTTACAGTGACAGAAAACTAACAGGCCTCAAAAAGAAGGCATCTGTGAGTTCAAACAGGAATAAGGACATAAAACAAATGTCCTTAGCTCACCTCTGCTAAGCATACCCTCAATTTATTCCCCCCACTTAAAAAATGTGTTAAAGTAACACAAAAGTTAATTTTAATCATTTTAAGTAATACAAATCAGTGGTACTAAATGTGCCCATAATGTTGTGCAATCGTTGCTACCACCTGACACCAGTTTCTCATCCTGCAAACTGATGCTCTATACCCACTGAGCACTAACTCCTCAGCTGTGCTCCTCAGATCTGGACTCACAGCTCTACTTTTTGTCTCCATGGGTCTGATTATTTTAGGTACATCATGCAAGTGAAGTCATATGTAGCTCTCCTTCAGTGTTCTGCTTACACAGCTCACAGTGGCAAGTGCAGGTGTGCAGAGAAGCATGTAGGAGGGGTGGGCCTGCCTCCTGTGTGCTCTCAGCTCCTCAGGAGCAAGAACCCATGTGGGAGAGGAGGGCACTAGTCCATTAGCGAGGGCTGTGACCATTGCATGCATGCAGTGCATCACTGACAGAAATGCTACATAGCATGTGACTGTAGCGATGCTAAGAACATGGGTGTGCAAATATTCCCTCAAGTCCCTGCTTCAATTCTTCCAGGCATCCATGTGACGTGAGCTGAGTGTATCCTCCAAAAGTTCATGTGCTAGAAGGTCATCTCTCAGTGTAGTAGTGTTGGGAGGGACCTAGCAACAAGTGTCTGGGTCATGGGAATGGAGCTCTTACTGATGGACTAATGCCCTTCTCCAGAATGCAGGTTCTTGCTCTGGAGGGACAGCATGCAAGCAGACAGTTAGAAGCAAGCTCACCCCCACGTTTATGCCCCTCTGCAGACTTCTGCACTTGCTCTTTCACTCCCCAATGACTTGAAGCAGCATGATGCCCAATTTTCAACTCCCCAGCCATCAGGCCAGAGAGTCAACATAAACCTGCTGTACATAAATCACTCAGTCTAAGACCCTCTGCTACAGAGACAGAAAGTGGACTAAAACCATATGGTGATGATATTAAAAATATTAAAAGGTTTTAAAGAAGTGCCAAACTTTTCATAGCAACTATACCATTTTTTCTTCCCATTAACAGTGCCCATTCACATCCTCACCAGTACTTGTTTTTTTTTTTTTTAAATAGTAGCCACCCTAATGAATGTGAGGTGGTATCTCCCTATAGCTTTAATGCTCATTTTTCCTAATTAGTAGGGTGCTGAGTATCTTTTCATGTGTTTATTGGCCCTTTACACAGCTCTCTGGAAAAACGTTCATTCAATGTTTTTGCTTGATATTGAAGAGGATCTTGTTAAATCTGAAGAGTTCTCTTTATGTTCTGAATATTAATCACTTTATCAGACTTATGATTATAGAGATTGTATTAAGTCCACAGAATGGGGGCCGGGGAGATGGCTCAGTGGAATAAGCACTTCCCTGGCAAGCGCAAGGGCCTGAGATCAATCCCCGGTTCCGCCAAAAAAAAAAAAAAAAAAAAAAAAAATGTACATGTTCTGTTCTTTAATTCTTTTGAGCAATTTTAAGAACAGTTTTCAATGCACAAGTCTTTCATCTCCTGAGTTTACTCCTAGATCTTTTATTCTTTTTTTTTTTTTTGGTATTTTATTCTTTTTGACTATTATAAAACAATTTTTTCTTAACTTCTTTTGGATTTTCATTTTTAATATATAGAAACACAACTGAGTTTTTTTTGTGTTAACTCTGCATTTAGGTTTTTTGTTGAATTCATTTATTAGTTCTAACAGTTTACAGGTGTGGGATCTTTATGGTTTTTTTTTTTTATATATATATAAGATCATGTCATTTATGAACAGAGATGACTTTACTTCCTCCTTTCCGATCAGGATGCACTTTTTCCTTTTCTTCTCTAATTGCTTTGGTTGTGACAAGCAGATGTGGTGAGAGCAGACATCCCTGCCTTGTTCCTGAGCTTAGAGATTCAACGCTCCACTTGTGGCATAACATAGATTATGGGATTTTTCACATGTAGCTTTTGTTATGTTGAGACGGCTTTACTTCTAGAATTTTTAGTGCTTTTATTATGAAAGAGTAATGCATTTTGTAAAATGCCTTTTCTGTATTAACTGAAACAATCATGTAGGCTTTTCCTTTCCTTCTTTTTTTGTTTGTTTGTTTTTGTTTTTTTGGTACTGAGAATCGAACTCATGACCTTGTACTTGCAAGGCAGGTGCTGTGCCGCAGAGCTATGTTCCCAGCCCCTTTTCCTTTCCTTCTGTTAACATGGTGCCTGACGCTGAGTGATTTTTCACTTGCCGCATCACCTGTGTACTCTGGAGATAAGCCCTACTTGGTAATGTGTGCAACCCTTTCATGTACTTTTCATAGCAGTGTGTGCTGCTGACTGAGGCTTGTGAGTATTTTACTGAAGACTCTTGCATCAACAGTCAGATAATGACTGGCCTGTAGTTCTCTTGCATTCAATTTCTCCTATTGAACGTACTTTCTCAATGGCAGTTATCTAGGCTACTATGAACTTACAGCAGAAGGTGTGTAAAATCTGGATCTCCAGGAAGAATTTAGTCAAATTCTAACAGCCAGCAGGTAAGAAGCATGCTTATCATATCCTTTACCTTATAGGTAACTAACCATGACACAAATATAACACAAATAAAAAACTTACCTAACCTGAAGGTCCAGAATAATTTGCCTTTTGTCTACATTTTCAGTATATACCTTAACACCATTGACCCTAAGGGGCTGAAATAAGAAGTAGCTTATTTTAAAATACAAGGATGTTAAAAAACAAACCAATCAACCAACCAGCCAACCAACCAACCAACCATCCTACCTTGTAACATAAGAACAAGCTTCAGTGACTATATGAATCAAAATTCTGCTTTCACAGCACACTAGCTGATTAACTTTCAGCACTAACCCTAACCTTTTTCCCGTTTCCTCACCTGTAGGTTACAAATAACAATGACATCTACTTCCCATAAATAAAGCTCCTGACATCATATGCAAGCACTAACACTGAGATTAAGCAGCACAGCCTCTGCTCCCATATTTAGGGGCCTCTAAGCCAAGGGAACTGCCAACACACCCTAGGAAGGGCACACATGAGCTTGTGCTGGAGAGACTGTACCTGGAATAACTATAGAAGACACAATGCATTCCCTCCAAAAATAAAATCAGCATGGGCAGGGGAAGGTGGCCCACAGCCTGGAGAACATGGGATGGACAATGACATGGCCAGGAGGTGACACCACCACCACTACCAGACACTCCCTTGAGTATACTATCACCTGAGATACATTGCACAGGATGCCTTTGTGTTGTCTGTGCCTTGGATTGTGTAAAATGGGTACAGATTCTGAGTTTTTAATTAGTCATATCACAATGTTACCTTGAACGGTTGCTAACTGACTTAAAAAATAAAAAATAAAGGAAACTTTCTATGATCAAGTAGTATAAATATAATCCCAAGGATTTTTTTTTTTTTTGTGGTCGTGGCCGAATCAGCCCATCCTAGGGGCAGGGCTAGCACAGCATGTGATGTCAGGGATCGAACCGTGGTCCTTGTGCACTTGCCTAAGCAGGCCCTTCAGACCACTGAGCTATCTGACCAGCCCCCGAGGCTTTCATTCCAAGTGCTATTAGCAACCCACAGCTTCCTTTTTATATACGGTAGGATTCCATTAAGAAAACCTATCTTTTACCTACACAATCTACAACCCAGCATCAGAGTTCCTTGTCAATTAGCATACGCTTAGTGGTGAAGCTACACCTCAAACTCTCTAACAGGGCAAACTTTACTCTATGGGAAGAACAAAGGATAGCGGAACTCATTGCAGAAGGTTCAGGCAATGTTAAAAGGAAGCCAGGCCACAGAGACTGGGCTAGCCAGAACGGCTCAATGAAAAGGAGGTCAGGACCTTGAAGCACAAAAAGGCTTCATATGTGGGCAGATCCTGAGCTGTACGTACCATAGATACTAAGTCAGCCACATGGTGAGTGTATTCCTCTGGAACATGTGGTTTAAAGTGTTTTTATGGTCTGATAGAAATCCAACTGTACAAGGAGTTCTGGGCACAAGGAAGGGCACCGGAGGAGGCACTGACCTGCTGGCCCATATCCACCTTCGTGAAGCTAAAGGTGCTGAGGTGGGTGTTTGCTCCCCGCACGGCTGGCTCTATGGTCTCTCGAAACAGCTTCTCTATGAATTGGCAAATAAAAGGCCACATGTGCTTTACAGTCTGGGGAAAAAAAACCACAGTAAACAAATGTTATAATGCTTAATACACTTGAATCATTGTGAAAATTAGAATCATATAATTTACCAGAATTTGGTTTTTAAAAATGTAAGAGGGAAATGGCCTTCTTACAGGAAAGCTATACTTCAAAATTCAATGTAAATTTTAAAAAGATATTATAACTTGTTACTGATTAATATAATACAAGAATTAGTTATTTAAGTAAATTCTATTTAAGCATATTAGCAAAACAATCACTAAATATCCTGTGGTTTCAGCTCATTGCTGGAAACCTTAAAACTTTATAAAGCTCAGTGATTATCTATTAATTTTTTTTTTTCCAGTGCTGAGGATGGAACTAATTTGGGGCTTTGCACACACTAAACATGCACTCTATCTCTAAGTTACAACCCCAAACCCATGAATTTTTTCAATTCAGACTACTGTCTCCCAGGTCTGTATAGTGATTTACCTACATTAGGATTCACTACATAGCCACAGCAATGCGCAGTGTACAAGGTGAAAGAGATCCAGTTCAAGCTGTACTGATTCAAAAGTACAATAGAGATTGCTGGGGAATTATTTCTCTCTTCATAAAGTTTCTGGAATTTCCACTCATGATTGCTATAAAGCAGAGTTGAGTGACTCTTCTCAGGAAGATACAAGGCCATACAGCAATGTCAACCATCCCGCTCTCTTCAGAAAGGAACACAGCATACACTCACGACTACACTCTCCGGAGAGCATAAGCCAGCCTGACTGGACTTCAACACTGCCAGCTTCCCAACTCCCAAATATGGAAAGATAGTCTCTCATCCTCTAATTCCCACTGATGTCTGGCATTTGGAATAGTCTAATCTTACCTTATTTAGCCATTCTGCTCTTTCAGTGTCTGGAAAATGAACCTAAGAGAAAACACACACACATGACTTACTCCTAACAACTGTGAATGTCCTGGGGATCGTGTCGTATTCCTACTGTGTGCCCTGCATTTACATAGCACTCTTGAAAACACTGTGCTCTTACACTCTGGAGCACAGTCTCCAGGAGGAAGCTGCAATGGGCAGCACCTAGCTTGCCACGTTCTCAGAGCCTGCAGGCAGAAGAGTCGAGTGGCAGCAAAGACCACCAAAGTCCTCTGCTTCTGACTGTCCAAGGAGTGTCCATGCAATCTGAAACATCACAGAATACACAAAACTGACCTCTTTAAAAGCAATCGTCTTTAGCATGGCCTTCCTTATGCTCTGGAAGTCCAGACTCAGATCCTTCACTCCATCTGTCTTCCACTCTTTTTCAGCTGAGCCTCAGCACCTTTCCATGTGAAGCTCCTCTCCACCTGGACTCCTACTCCACCGAAGTGCCTGCTGTAACTATAGTTCTCTATGGGTAGTGTCCATATAGTGGAAAAGTGTTTGGAAAAGCAAAAAGAAAGCTACCATATTTTTAAGAAGGTGAAAACATTTCCTCCTTTTAAAAAATCTTTTTATTTACTTGTTTGGTACAGGGTTATGCTACACAGCTCAGACTCCTACTGATCCCTCCTCTCAGCCTCCCCAGCGCTGGGATTATAGGCATGCACCACTACACTGGGTTTCAGTGGCTGGCTCAGCACAGGACTGGCAAAGCACGCTTGCCAGGCAGGTGCTTAGGCCGCTGAACTAGCTCCCTGGACCTGAAAATATTTCCTCTGTTGTTGGAATTAAAATAACACACCCATGCAGAACACGGCTAGCACCTTTTCTAGGCACTGACAGGGAGGTCTCCAAGGAAGAAGAGGGCTGGGACCACACTGATGCAGCGATCACATATCTGGTTTAGAGGTACAGTGGATCACAGCAAATGTGAACTGGCACCTGAGGAAAGGACAGAAAGGGCTCTGACGCCTAGACTTTCCTAAGTTCCAGAGAACTTGAACTAACTAAAGCCCCCCCATCCTGTGCTCTAGACAGGTGACCCTGGACCAGGCACAGGAACAGGAGATGGGGAGTTCAAAGAGGTTTCTTTGAAATCCATTCCACCTCTCAGGCCTCAATGTGAGAACAATTAAAAATGGGACTGATCGGCAGCCAAGCCTTGTTCCCAGAGATGCAGGCAGCCACATCAATCTCAGAAGCCATGGAGTGACTGGCCACCCTGGGCTTTGCTAAGAAGAAAAGCAATGGCAATGGCTCTGGCGTGGTAGGGGGTCGCTCTGCTCATTTGCTACACAGCATGAAGTGCTTGATTTAAATCAATCATGAAGTGGACTAAAAGGAGATTAAATTAGCCTGCAAACATCCTTAAGAACCAAACCCAAAGGGTGTCAACCTTCCAGAACTGAAGAAATGGCTGAGAATCTGAGATAGAATATATTCAAGATGCTGAAGATCAGGAAAGAGTACCACTGGAGATAATCACTACCATCCAGAGGATGTGTTTGTACCTCTGCTGAGAGGGACTCTGATTCTGGCAGAAGTGGATTCAGTGCTGAGCTGTATTGTCCCCCGACAAGGAAGACAGTCTAGGCACCACAGTGAGGAGAGCTAGAGGGTTTGGTAGATTCATCTAGGTCACACATTAATGCTGCACAATTTATCCAACACTGGTACCCTGCCATTTCTCAACATTATTGTAAAGTAGTTCTGCACACTAAGAGTCAGATCAGGAATGGGATAGGTGGTGGCCACTCAACGTGTGTTAAGCATTAAAGGGGATATTTAGCTGTGCTCTCTCTCAAATTTATTGTGAGGCTGTATCTCTTTCTGTCCCATTCCTCTAAACTCATCCAACCAACCACAAACACATCACAAAGGGCAAAAAAGAAATACGAAGCATCTTCTAGTTGCTGATGGTCAGAATGTCTTCACTGCAGGTGCTCCTTCTGTAATTTCAGAGTAAACACACCAAACATTTCTGCAGACATGTACCTAAGCGCTGGAATGTACCTGCCGTCTCTTTGATGTCTGTCCACTTTCCCACCCACAGCTTCTCCTTCTCTGGCTTCTCAACCGCGTTAAATTTAGCCACCAGAACAATTATTCTAGAAAACAGGAATCTCATTTCAACTTACTTACCCAAGACCTTGAGCTCCTATTATTTATCAAATAGTTCAACTTTCTTTCTCTCTTTTTTTAAAAAAATGTATTTGGTACAGGATCTCACTCCGCAGGTGGCTGGCTCAGTGCAGCCTGGGGGCGGGGCCAGCCCAGCATGTGGTGCTGGGAATCAAACCCTGGTCCCTGCACTAGCCTAAGCATGTGCTTAGTCTGCTGAGCTATCTCACCGGCCCTCTAAATGGTTCAACTTTCTCAGGCTGATCTTCAAAGAAAGTTCAAATCACATTTTCCTGGGTCTGCAGCTCAGGATTCTCACGGACACAGTATAGTTCTCTGCTCACTGCTGGTCCTCTCCACTCCTCAGCCAGCCACCTCCCTTAGAGCCATCTGGCTCAGCTCTGCACAAGTTCCCAGGGATGACAGCACCCCACAGCACCATTCCTCTCAAGCCCTCCCCCAGGAACCTGCATTTGTCACAACAATAAGTGCTCTCCAACAAGATCAGAGTCAGAACCCTCACCTCCTGCTGCCAGTCCATCGCTAAAATAATCAGCTACAGCTGGGCATGGTGGTACACGGCTATGATGCCAGCATGAGGAGGCTGAGATAGGAGGATGATAACTTTTAGGCTACCTAATAACGTTAAGGCCATCCTGGATTACATAGTGAAACCCTGTCTTAAATAACAAAAATTAAGAATAAAACATCAGGCTTTTTAACTGGGCCTTCTATCTCCTGGCATCAGGGAATTCTTGTTCATACAGAATCTTAATACTAGGTAGGCTAGTAAGTACTAGTCTGTGTTTTTCAGTCAGTATACAATGTTACATCAAATTCATATTTGAAAGTATCATCAAATGAACTTCTATTTTCTAATAAAACTAACAAAAATTATAAAAACCTACTACATCTGATAATATCAGAGGCAGAATTTTCAACCTAAAAACAGAAGCCATTTATTCTTAAAAATACTGTTTATATACAGATGCAAATGTACAGATAAGCACATGTAGATGTGTACAAGAATACATACACTACATTAGTAACAAGGAAAATAAAACACCTTTTTTATGTATTTGGTATAAGGTCTCACTATGCAGTGTGGACTTGTAGTGATCCTCCTGTTTTCAGCCTTCTCAGCGCTGGGATTACAGGCATGTGCCACCACGCCTGGTCTTGGTGGCTAGCTCAGTGTGCCCTGGGATGGGGCCGACACAGCACGTAGTCCTGGGGATCAAATCCTGGTATCTGCATTTGCCTAAACAAGCACTTAGTCCACTGAGCTATCTCACTGGCCCTTAAAACCCCTTTTCTATTATGCATTTCCATACTTTCAAGTTAGTTCCTTATGAGAAAAGCAAATCACTATTGGAATTTAATCATAAAATCAAGAAAATATTTTTAACTCAGAACTATATTTAGGGGCCTGGGAAATGGCTCAGTAGAATAAGCGCTTCCCTGGCAAGCGCAAGGGCCTGAGTTCAATCCCTGGTTCCACAAAACAAAACAAAACAAAACAACAAAAAACAAACAAACAAAAAAACTATATAAAATAACCAAAATTATGTGAAAATAAATTTGCATAAATTGAACCATATTTTAATTATATTAGGAGAGCATGATACTCAGAAACAGGATTCTCTCATAAGTAATCTATTCTAAATTTAATTTGATAGAAAATTTTTGGTACATCAAATTTGAGAGCCAAAATACAACTGTTATAGTGAAAATGGCCCAACTCTGAAAACATATGAAGATTTAATGCGATCCCAATGAAAATATCATTAGCATACCTCATAGAACTAGAGAAAACACTGCTAAATTCTTTTGGAACCAGAAAAGGCCTAGAATAGCAAAAGTAATTCTGAGCAACAAAGGCAAAGCAGTGGGCATCAAAATCCCCACCCTGAAATTACACTACAAAGCTACTGTAATAAAATCAGCATGATATTGGCAAAAAAAAAAAAAAAAAAAAAAAAAAAGACCTGCAGATCAGAGAACAGAAGATGCAGACAACTCCAAACACACTCAGCTACATTATTTTTGACAAAGGAGCCAAACATTCACGGTAAAATAGATTGGCTTTCCACATACAGAACACTAAAACTTGACCCATGTCTGTCATCATGCACTAAACTACAGTCAAAATGGATCAAAGATCTAAATATTAAAACAGAAACACTAAATTTACAGAAACAGAAAATAAGCAAAAATATTCAAGACAGGTGTAGGCAGAGACTTAATGAACAAACCCAGATCCCACGAATAATACTAGAAAGAATCAACAGATGGGATCTCATCTTATTAAAAATCTTTTGCATGAGAAAAGAAATCACCAACAGAGTGAAAAGGTAACTCACAGAGTGTAAAAAATTTATATCAAGTTGTCCCTCAGACAAAGGACTTCTATCTAGAAAATATAAATTTAAAAAAAAATCAGGGCCCCAATTCAAAGGCCCAATCCAAAAATGGACATCTGAGATGAATACACACTTCTCAGAAGAAGAGATACAAATAAATGCAAATAAGCACATAAAAAAATGTTTAAGATCATGCTTCATTCGAGAGATGCAAAATAAAACAATACTGAGATTCCATCTCACTCCAAAAGGAAGAGCTATCATCAAGAAATCAGCCAATGACAAACGCTGGAGGGGCTGTGGGGAAAAGAATCCCTTTTCCACTGTTGGTAGGAGTGTAGACTCCTGCAACCATTGCAGAAATCAGTGTAGAAATTCCTTAAAAAACTAGGATTAGAGGTGCCACTTAATCCAGCTACTCTCCTTCTAGGCATCTTCCAAAAAGAACTAAAAACTTCACACCACAGTGGTGTTATGTGCTGCCATGTTCACAGCAGTACAGTCTGTCAT